TCTTTTAAACTGAAATAAGACGTATTAAAGAACAACAAACAAAAAACATTTATGTTAAACAAATCAAAAACTATGTTTAACGTTTCAACGTTAACACGCATCAACTTATCTGCGTCACTGAACTCATATTAAGATTATCTTACATGAATAATAATCCATACTAGAGGTACAACGTACAGGTACAACATACAGTAAATGCGAGGAACGAAATCGTGCGAGTAACGAAATACATTCGACAGCAACGTTTTGATACTTGGGAGTCGGGAGTGCACCCGTTACTCAATATACATATGATTTGCTACAGATCTAGTGATAAGTGTATGATCTGTTGAAGGAAATTCTCCACCAATTTTTCACAACAATTCAACGTGGAACAATTTTTCACCCCCAGATCTATAGGTTAACTGTACTGTGATATATATTTAGTAAATATATGTGTTGTTTTGTTTTTTGTTCTTTATAGTTTAGTTTTATACAAGGAGGTGTTTCAAATTCTTAAAAGTATTCTAAACATTATAATAATAATTATTAATGATCGATTCAAAAATAAACATAAAATTTATAGTTCGGTGAGTTTTTTTTTATATGTCGTCGCCCATGGACATCTGGAACAACAGAGACGTTACAAGTGCGTTACCGGCCTTTTGGTGGTTAGGAGTTTGAGGATCGTTGGGGATTCAGGAATTGGGGAGATTGGAGGAGGGGAGGGTAATTGGGCCTCCGGTAACCTCACTCACACGACGAAACACAACGCAAGCGTTGCTTCTCGTCGGTTTTCTGTGAGGCCGTGGTATCACTCCGGTCGAGCCGGCCCATTCGTGCGGAAGCATGGCTCTCCCACACTTTATTTAATTTTGATATTTTTTTATAGTCATTTAATTTTGATAGTTTGGTCCAAGGACGTTGAAGAAAACAGACGGACATAATATTAGTTGGAAATGATGAAGCGCAACAAAATGTCAGTGGTATATTTATGTGTGCGTGTACTTTCAACACCGTAATGTATGAAGTGTAATGACGAGCCATATCACGCGACAGGTGTCCTTTGTGTTCGTGTGTGTATTCTGCGTGTAAGTCTATAGTAGCCACGTGCCACAGTCGTAATTTCAAGAGACTGTGTCTGCCTTGTTTTCATACGTCCTTGGGTTAGCCTGAAATATTTTTTGAGAGATTTACAAAATTTAACTAGACACAGTTTCCTGTAATTTAGGTCCCAAAACGATTTTTTTTGTAAAATTAACAGTTTTGGTGCAAAGTACATACATTTCAATGAGCATTAACGAAAATGGATTGTATTTGTTACATGCTTTCTAAATTTTTCATAGTAAAATTTGAGAAGTATCTCGCGCTAATTTATATTCACTTGCCTCAATTAGACTGACATAGTTATATGTATGTACATTTCAGATGAATGCCTAAAGAAAAGTCATAATTACTACGAATACTTTTAATACAAAATTGTTTGAAATTTACAAGACCCTCACTGGCTAGGTGTAAGTATTAGTATTAAATTTGCAAATAGTCCGATGTTAAATGCGAAATCATTAAGTAGGTACGAATATCATTACAAAAATTATCGAAACCAATTAATTACTAAAGAAGTTAAAGGTTTTTTACACCTTACCTAAATTAAAAACTTTTACAAAATTTCAACATCCTATACAGTATATGAATGTTCAGAAAGTACTCTGATACTGTTGGAAAATAAAAAATAAATAAAAATAAAATTTGTTTATTGGCATACACAAGTTAGATTACATGTAGACATGGAAACGAACAGCATTCACATAAATACAGATACGGTAGAGGTGCCCGTGGGCCCCAAACTAGGCGCAGCCTTTATCTTGGTGGCCCAATATTTTTGTTTTATAGATCTAGTCTGTTATAGCTAGCTGTGTCTGTAACTGCCTTGATGGTTGTAAATTGTAATTGTAGTAGGTTTTATATTTCAAATGAGCAATCTGTATCTCTATCATGTTCTTCCAACAAATGAAAGCGTAATGCTATATTCATACATACATTACTTAATTTAACAACATTAACTTTAGCAATCTAGAACAAAATTATTTCTATCTCCACATACTCGCAAGTACGGCTCTAAGTAAGTTTCGTATCGAATGAAACTTGAGTATTCTATTTACTGATTGCATACGGTCAAGAAGAAGTTATCTAAGGCTAGGAACTCACGAAGCGATTTTCTCCTCCGCCCGCCGCGGTGGCGTAATGGAGGTTTATTTTTAAAACTTACGAGATCGCAATGTTCTGTGGTCCCGCGTGCTCTGAGATTCGTTGACTGACGATCGCAATGGGACGGCCGGTCTGGTACTCAAACTGAGGCCTTAGTATGAATTTCTTTTACTTTTAAGTAATCGAAACGAGTACGTGTTCGGCGCTGTGATTGGCCGGCTCCAATGAACCAACCAATCAGAGCGCCGGACGCCGTCTCGTTTCGATTACTTTAAACGAAAAAAAACTTGTACTAAGGCCTCTGATAGAGTTTAACCGCCCGTCTTGCGATAATCAACTTTGCGGGCGTTAATCGCAACCGCGGCGGCTGGGGAACCGCAGAACATTGCGATCTCGTGAGTTTTGAGAATAAACCTCCGTTCAGCCTCCGCAGCGGGTGAAAACCGCGTCGTGAGCCCGTAGCGTAACCGTATACTTACTTGTACCTGTGCGCTCAGCGTTCCTTACAAACTTTTATTAGGGTTCAAAAGTCTAACGTATCGTAAGGGTCTTCTGCTGGATGTGCCGGGTTTGATTTGGTGGATCTAACTTTTATTGTAAGAGTACTATTTTGTAGCTAATAGAAATTCATACATATCTAGCTAATAGAATTGTTACATATCTATAGATAGCGAATGCAAAAACATTTTTTAATAGCATGCTCAAATATGTAGTAGATACTTATTGCTACAGGGATATTATAACTTTGTTAGTTGCCAAAATCCTGCCTCCGTTATATTGTGAATATCCTAAATAGAGATACTTATTAAAACTATGCCAGACTCGAAAATCGAACGTGGATGCCGTTGATGTTCTACTGTCACATTAGCTACAATCAGTCGAATAAATCGTTTGGATATATTACGTTTGGTAACTTTAAAACATAAACCAAATATTACCAAAATTACGAAATTAAACTGCGCATCACTTGCGCCGGAATCGAAACTGAGACTCCACTGTCGTATTCTACTCCTAGCTTCGTAACTAAAAAATAGAAATGACCTATTTCTATTTTTAGGGTGACTCGCGACGCGACGTACCACGTAATGTAAGAAAGAAATCAAAATGTAGATTTAAACAATATCGTATAGTATCAAGACAGCCCAATGAAGGAACTTCGAAGAATAAAGAATTTTAGCTCAACAGTCGTCCACCTAAAATGTTCCCCTCATTCCTGTTGCCGGGTTTTCGGTGGCAAAGGTATACTAGAATTTGTCGGTACATGCGAAAACATCATACGTGCGTAAACAGCACATACACAAGCACCTCGCCTCTGCGGCCTCTGCTTACCCAACACCGGGGACATGAAAACCTAAGTCTCTAAATACGTAGGGCATCCCAAGGTGGCAAATGCTTGGAAATTTCCATTTTCACAAGAGAAGGAGTCCGGTTTCTAACAAGAACAACGGACTCATTTAATTTTGTATAAAAATGTATAACATTAAATTTACAACGCAGGTCTGCCTTTCAATTTGAGCGAAAAGTCGTGATAATAAATGAGAACTTTGTAAAAGTACCCTTTACAATAAAAATACAACTACATTTATGTAATAACACCTTAACTTACCCCTTTAAACAAAAAACGTGCTATAGTAACTGAGAGCGCAATAAAAGAACCCTTTATTACATTATAAATACAACCTACCTTACGCATAAAAAGCCCTAACCCGGCGGCTGTTGAGGTAGGTCGCGGACTCGTAGTAACCCGCCACCCACTTCACGTCCGTGAGTCTCCTTGTTATAGGGGGGCGAGAATAACAAATGCATAATATACGAGTGCTTAGATTTTTGACTGAGTTTTCACAATGGTTTTTTGCGTGATTCGGGAATCGAACCTGCCATTGCATGATCAGTCCCAATTGTCATCTCAAATCTCGAAATAAAAGTATACAAGAACATCTCATAATTACAGATATCTCATAATTATTTCGGATTCTTACAAAAAATCTTAACGAATTTCTTACACCCTAATAAGAAGCGCTGAATCTAACAACTACACATTAAACACCAGGAAACCAATACCCAATATTAATTAAAGCCGACCTATAAACCTAATTAGTATCAAATCCGCGAAATCCTAAATTCCTCCTCAAACTAATTATTATTGTAGCACCTAAATTGTTGTGATTTATATGATTGTGTTTCCCCTGCTTAGACGATATTTCTAAGGTATGCATGCCTTTTGGCAAAGGTCTCCTCCAACTATGTCCATTGACTTCCATTTCATTGGCGACCCTTCCCCAATAAGAGCCTGTTGTTTGTTTCAACTTATCCTCCCATCTGAAGGTTTGTCTTCTCCGTTTCCTTTTTCGACCTCTGGGATGCCAGTATGTTACAATTTTACTCCACTTTTCCTGAGTGCTCCTTATGGCCTGTCCATCTCCATCTGAGTTGGTCTATCTCCATCGCTCTTTGGCATCCATGCAGCATGGCCCTGTGAAGTTTTAAGAGAGACCATGTTTCGCAGCCATATGTAATGCGGGGAAATGCAGGTATTGGAGACTCCGTTTTGTGCCCATACTACTAGTTTGTATTAGCAGAACAAATTTACATGTATATGTAATTTGGATTTACTTCTACACAAACAATTGATAACAGCTTTTAATTCTTGGAATATACGATTTCCGAGTATAAAGGTATTAGTTGTAAAATGGGAGGGATCCGAACGTAGTGCAAGCCAATCACGAGGGTTTTATAGTTATGGGGGTGTGGGAAGGTAGGCCAGGGCCTAGGTACCGCGCGGGGTAGCCGCTGCAGCTCAGTCAGTCTGAATTGCATCGCCGCCGCGTTTGGAGCTCTCTACTTCTCAAAGCTCTCGTACCCGTCGGTCACCGACCCCTGACCCCACCCCAGTCACCAAAACCCAAGTGTTCCAAGTAAGCATAAATATTTTTTTGGTAGTATTATTTTACATTTTTTTTAAATAATTTTATATTTTTTACATTTTTTTATTTTTTTTTATTTAAAATTTTCACTGAATTTATTATTTACTTTATAATTTTTATAATATACTACATTATCATTATTTACTTATTTTATTTTAAAAATAATTAAATTTTCAACAGGTTTTGTAATTTTAATTCATTTAACTACTTTGTAACAAACTTTAATGAAATTCAAATAATCATGTTCAATTATTGTACTAAAATAAAAAAGAGGTCTAAAGTTTTCTCTAATAAAGTTTCGCATCATAAGTATCAACAAAAAGTTTGCCAACAGTTAGAAAAGTCAACGAAAGTTACCAACAAAATGTCAGGACAGACGGAAAATATTAAAAGTGAACAAATATTTATTTTAAATTTTAGTCTATGAAACTACATTATTTTTAGCAAAAATAAAACGATTTAATTATTTTTCATATAAATAAATCAAGTGAAGTGTTAAAAAAATTTAACTCAAAAACAAATTGTTTTGTGAATACGTCTTATACACAGAATTTATAATATCAGAAAATGTAAATAAAATTAAACATTAAATGACATTAATGAAGAAAAGAATAAAGTGTGTAAAAATATCTTTTCCAGAATTGAAAATTAAAAAGTAATTGCGGAAGTCAAAAGATTCACTAAAAATATTCATACGCGAAAGTAATAATAAGTATAGACATCCATTAAAAAGTTAAAACTGAAAAGACTAATTTCAATATCGATACCCACAAAACAACATTATTTGAAGAAAATAATATAAAAGTGAAAATATAATAAATACTATAATCATTCTATTAATTAAACAAGTATAAAATTAATAAACACACACTTCCGAAGTTAAGGTGAAAAAAACAATACAAACAGTTACAAAAGTCGCAGTTGTATCTGCGACTTTTGTAACTGTTTGTATTACAAGAAAATAAAACCTACTAAAATACCCGACGGCTGTCAAAGATTTAAGTTACTTACCAAAAATGAATCTCAGTCTTCGATATCACATTTAATAAAACTTGTAATACTCTTCGAAACTTAAAAGAACCGCGGATAGTCAATTATTACTAGAAATGTAATTGACCAAAACTAGATTTAATTTATAATTTGAACTGTCAAACACCGCGAGGTCACCGGTGACCGCACACTATTGTTCTTTAATTGTGTCTATAATGACGGTACTCAAAGGGTTAATCTTCAAAACTAATAATAAAACACTCTATTGTCTCGGGCACCTACATTGTGTACACCATAATGAGTTACAGAAAAACTTAAATTCATTTCCACATTTCAAAACTTTTGTTGCCCAAACTTCATGGGATAAGTACCAACAATAGTTCGCAAACAGTTGAAATAGTCGCAGACAAAATTCCACGCGTAGCCCGTCGGCTACGTGTACCGGTAAATATTAAAGAACTTTCCACTGCTTTGATTAAAAAATTGTAATGTTTTTGTTCGAAACGATATAAAAATTGACCAACATGATTCAGTTTTAATCAATTTAAGATAAATTACAAAGTTTCAAAAGTAAAAGTTACTTTGTGAAGTTATGTGAGAATATTCTATAATAAATTAATCCGCAATCGGTTAAAAATGTCGCAGACAGTTTTCTATAAACGGAAGTAATGTAATTAGATAAACGGTCAGTAAAGTAATCAAATTGATTTCATCACCGATAATAGCGACACTCGCGGAATTCCGCTCAAACAATGAAAAAATGCGAATCGTCGGGAGTATTTTTAAATCTCCACTAATTGGAACTATGGTAGGGCGCCAATTTCATTATACGCGGGGACCAATACATTGATGGGTTTGCCGCGGAGTTTCAGACAATTGCACTTGATTTGAATAGATCCGATTAGCCGTCTGTAGCACTCTTGTGATGACTACTTTGTGTATATGCCAACGTTGTGTAGGTACAAGAACCCTTTGCTTCGATAGGTACAATGGGAGATTGCGAGCAAACGCTTGTAAATTGTAATCACAGTTACTATTTATTAGCATCAGCAATACGGATAAAATCCCACGACTTATTTTAAGGAAACATGTTCTTCTCTAGTCGTTTTAATTGTTGCTGCGTTAAAATTGAGCCATTGGGGAATTATTGGTGAAGTGATCGCTTGCGCGGAGATAGAGTGCATAAGCGACTCGGGTTCGATTCCGTCGGCTAGAAAATTATGTCGCGAGCGTTTCAATATTAAAGTTTGATGTACCATAACGAAGTGGTTTGTATCTGGTGATGTAATAAATAAGTAGTGAGCCGCTTAGGTTCTATTTTATTCGGTCCGGTAAAGGACCTTAAACGGTTTAGTGATTGCAAGTAACGACTGCAGAGAAAAATTGCGATATACTTGATCAAATGATTGTCTATTCAATTTATAAAATTCTTAACCATTATTGAAATCAGGAACACAGATTAGGATCAAATTTTTATCGCGTTTCGGTTCGGAATCGTATTTCGGTATCCATAGAAACTTTCTATGGACTTGATTTATCTTTAATTTTTTTAATATGCTATTCTTATTTGGGAAAAAACTAAAATTTGCATCTGATTTGATGTTACTAGGTTTAGTTTTGTTACTGTAATGAACATTGTACGGAAATAAATAATTAATAGATGTTGAACTTGATTGTACTCGATTTTGAACTTAGAATAGTTCTCAGACTTAGAGGAGAATTATTAAAAAAAAAGAATTTTAAAAAGAAATCGTTTTTTTAAAGTGGCTTAGAAAAGTAGGGATACATTTGCGTAGTTGTTAGATTTAATTATTTGGGCGTTTATAAAATTTGTTTGAAAAATGTTGCCGTGCCCGTTAGCCGTCGGCATATTTTATAGGGTTGTCCCGACGGACAGTTTTTACAAATGTTACCGATACTGGCAATCAATCTGCGAGTTTCTAAATAAAACTTCTATTGCATAATAATAAGAAAATTAATCAAAGGTTAAACTTTTTACCTTAATTGGTGAAGATATAAAGTTTGGTTCCTCGGTAACTGACTTGATGGTCTTCGGTTTAGTTTCTCAGTTAGATACAAGTTGTGAAGGTTGGAACACTTAACATTTTTTTTTATTTTTCTAAATAGTTTTGGTAGTTTGATTCTTAGCTAGACACATCTAGTATTGGAAATTATAAAATATTTCTGGCTAAGTTTTTGTTACTAAGGAAATGTAGTACCTACGAATGGTCGCAAGTGCGGCAAGTATGTAGGGAAGGTATTACTTAGTTTTAAAAAATAAAAATCTCGGTAGTAGCACGGAGGCTGGAATTGTGCCCGGTACATGGCAATAAGCTCACCCCCTATTACATGGGACTCAATATAAATAGATAAAAGTGAGTGTTACATTGTTCAGTGGCATTAAGTTTGTATGTGTGTGTAATGTGCACCTTTGCTATGTCTTTGGGGATTATTGATGTTTTGTTATGAAATGTTAGGTTTCCTGTATAATTTGGTATGGTAATATTAGATTGATTGGTGTTCGACTATGTAATTTATACATTATAGTTAATTCATTGTTGACTTTCTGTGGTGTTTAATTCTTGACAGACTTGTATATTGTGATTTCGTTTGGTTTAGAGGACTTAATCTAAAAGTGAACATCTTCCAGATGATGACGATGATAATGATAATGATTCTGGATTAAAATCTAGGCATATTCAGTTTTGATTTCGTAATTAGTGAGGTTCTGAATTGTTGGGGTTGTTATTACGTTTGCGTGTGGTTTGTTTTTACTATAAGTTCGTTGCGAGAGGTTGAGTGAGTTTGGCTTCTGATTATTTACTGTTATTGAACTTTTTGGATCTTCGCTATCGGCTTAACTTTCGAGACATTTGTGATTTAGGATTTTTTTCGACACCTCGAGGTCGTTTTCCGGTTCTAGTTGTTTGTTATATGTGTATAAGATTTTGTTAGATCCCGAGTCCGAATGTCTATTTAATATTGCTACTTTTGTATTTTTTATACTTTTTTATGGCATGAGCCGGTAAACAAGCAGACGGATCACCTGATGGTAAGCAATCGGCGTCGCCCATGGACACCTGAAACACCAGAGGCGTTACAATTGCGTTACCGGCCTTTTTGGGATTAGGAGTTTGAGGATCGTTGGGGATTCAGGTATTGGGGAGATTGGGGAAGGGGAGGGAAATTGGGCCTCCGGTAACCTCACTCACACGACGAAACACAACGCAAGCGTTGCTTTACGTCGATTTTCTGTGAGGCCGTGGTATCACTCCGGTCGAGCCGGCCCATTCGTGCCGAAGCATGGCTCCCCCACACATAATACAATATTGTGTTCAAATTCCAATTTGTACATTCTTATTGCGCGCGGGTGGCATGCATATCTTTAATGTGAAAAATAGGTTCGCGCGTATCGTGAGTGAATTGATGTAGACGCATCGTTACATATCTACATTTTTTTTACAATTTGTATTTATGGCTTCGACTCTATATTAATTACTGACATACATATGCCATATTTAACCGCGTCAGTGAAGCAAGCGGACACACTTGCTCTGTACAAAATTATGACAACCGCAAAAATTGTAGTTTTTAGAGAATTGCAATTGAATTATAACTTTCGTGAGACATACTAAATATATTATTATATTTTCGGCTTACTCACGTAATTAATTGACGAGGAACTCAACTAGTTTCAAGCCATACTAGAGGCTCGTAATTATGAGCAGCATTTCGCGACCCGCGACGGGGCGACTGTCCCGCTGCTACTGACTAGTCGAGTTCCTCGTCAAATAATTACGTGAGTAAGCCGAAAATATAATAATAGAATTGCAATTAGTGGTTTACTGTACCTCAGTGGTTTTACGGTTAGGCCGGTTAACCGTACGCGGATAAAATAGTAGTGTAGCCTTACCCTTGCAGAACCTTATTAAGATGTTCCTGAAAATGATCTGAGTAAGAAGATTTACTCAGATATATTTGGGAAATAAATTTGGAATTAG